CCAACAATGCCTCTCTCCACCTAGGTGAAAAAATTGGTACCAGCAAATTTAAAGCTGGCGGGTAACTTGTGATGGACTTGCATCCCATCCATTGAGGGGGAGAAATACTCCTAGTCACTTCGTGCTGCAGAAACGAGGATAAGCTCCAACCTGATGGGCCGCTTGGCTTGTATGCAGACTTAACCTTACCCTGCCAGGGTGGCATGGCATCATTAATTGCATGCAGAAGATGTTTGGGTCATCTTGGAAAATACTTGGGGTTACCGGGTAAAATCTCTTGCATTTAATTTGAACCATAGTTGTGGCAGGTATTAAAATAGATTACATTGTGTTTAGGAGCCAATGAGGGAATTGCTGACTTGACACGAAAAATTGAAGTCCTTGGTCAAGGTCAGGCTGTCGATTGGAAACAAGCTTATAGAGAAGTACATACTTACTACAAGCAACTGGCCATGGTGAGACTTGAAGAACAGCAGGAGAAAGGTGAATTGTAAACTAGAAAGTAAAATGTCCTTATCATAGCATGTGGTTAAATTAATTTTTTAGTCCAAAGCTTGAATTCCTCTCCACGTGTATATTGTTTGTTTGTTTGTTACTATTTTGCCATTTATAAATATGTCTACAAAATATCAATGTATGAGGCAAGGAAGCCCGGGGAAGCCAATAAGGCGTATGTAAAGGACTAACTTAAAGGTACCTAGTACTTAACAAAAGAATAAAAATGCTGTCATCGGTGCACAAAATGATCATAATTTAAGGTAAAAAGTAATTACGCAATGCTAATCATGCAAATGTGCTGAAGCAAACTTAAAGGGGCTCAGTCATGGTTTGTGCATATTGAAAAGTTTAGCAACAATTTTTCAAATTCATCGTTTGTAATCCGTGTTAATCTTCTCNAACAAAAAACAAAAAACAAAAAACAAAAAACAAAAAACAAAAAACAAAAAACAAAAAACAAAAAACAAACTATCCAGACCAGAATTTTACTGTGCACATGTACAGTTTTTAGTAATTATTTCAGTAAAAAGAAGAGAAAGCCATTTCAGGCTTTCGGAGCTCAAAAGGTCAATGCTTGTGGCCTCCACTATTGTAGTATTTAGCAATTTCCCCTGGCTGGGATCATGTTAGCTAGTCCAGACCATTTGCAGATTTTTTTTGTCAAGTTTTGCTGGCAACTTTTGGGGAACATTTTACCTCTGGGTGGGGAGAGACAAATAAACAGTACCTTATCAAAGAACTTGACACAATGACCCCACTCAGGTGCACTCTTGGATCTCTGAATCAGAAAAACAATACACTGACCATGGAGGCTCTCTCTACGTGGTGCGGACCTGTGAAGTTAGGTCTTTGTAAGCATTGCAGTTGTGACATATTGTACTTCAAGGATATCACTGTTACAGTTTGCACTGTTTTCCCTCCCTTGGATTTAGTTGAAATAGAATTAACTCATTCCATGGAAGACATTGGTCCTGCGCAGTCTGCAACCACCACAGATCAAAGGGACCATGCAAACGAGTTTGCAGCCTCAGAGTTTGATGGAAATGATTTGACTGGCGGCAACTTGAAGATGCTGACCCACAGTCTCAAGGCGCTGGCTCAAGAAGGAGACAAACCACAAGATGCAGACGTAGCTTTGGATGTGAGGCCTACTTTAGTACAGGCATCAAATCTTTTGGTAAGAGTCAGAGGACAGAGTGGCCCACTCTGGTGAATCTTTTCAAATATCTTCAAAGATCTTCATGAGGATCTCTGGGGATCTTCATTTGATTTCTTCAAAGATTGTAAAGGCTCTTGCAACATCAGGCACATTATTCTTAGGTTGCTCTAAAGATCCCCAAGGACCTTGCACTGGTTCTAATTAGAGAAAGCAATATCTGTAAGTGCTAAGCGGGAGAGCAGTGTATACTGATTATGGGTAATTTCAAAAACAAAAAACTTTCAACTTAGCACTACAGGTCTTCTCAGATTTTACGATTTAAGCACTCTATTCAGCAATTTCAGGGCAGCACTTATCTCCAGCTTCTATTTTGTAGCATGAAGTGACCAGGATGGAATCCCTGGATGGGACACTAGTCCATGGCTGGCTTACCCTCAGCATTAAATTTGCCGGTGAAGTAGTAAAAATTATACATTTTTTTTTACACATCGTTGCTTCTGATTATTTTGCAGGAAGGCGATCGAGAACCAAGAAAACACAAATTCCGCTATCTATCACTTGCTGTCCAAGGTGTTTTTGCTGTTCAAAGAGTCCGGAGGCTACAGGTATATATATACTTGATGATACAACCAATTACCAGCGCTAATCAAATTAACATTTTGTTATGCCCGATTCTTCAGTTACACGGAGATCTTCTTATAATGCCGTTTTATTGTATGGACTGGTATTTTTTTTCAGGGACACATGGATGCAGTTCTTTGCTTACAGTTTGATAAGAGAAGAATTATTACAGGATCTGCTGACCGCACAGTACGGTAGGTTCAACAGGTTCTTTAAGGAGAGTGTTTACAATTGAACGAACAACTTTGAGAAAGTGGTGCACTAATTTACTTTATTTTGAACTAAATTTTGAATCGCAGTTTAAAAAATGTAACAATAAACTTTGACCTGTCTTTGCTTTTTCTTAGAGTGTGGGATGTGAGAAGTGGGCGAAGTATCCACAAGCTGAAAGGACACAAGGTGATTATGTCTGCTCAGGAGCCTTTAGGCTTAGTAATGAAATGGGCTTTTCTTTTCCCGCGTTGAATTTTGAAAAATAAGTTTGAACTTGATGAGTAAGCCCTATGAAATTTCGCGTGTAACAACCAATCAGAGATGCCACACATATCTCTGTAGATCTACATCATCACTATGGAATTTTTCCTCCCCAGATCTCCTCATTTCATAGCTCAATCAGGAGCTTGTTCACAGGCTAACAGCAGTTGAGCATGGGGAGAAACATTCCGATAGAGCGTCATCACAATATGCTCTGTTTGATGGTTTCCTATATTCATATCACTTGTCTGCTCAGCAGTGGATGAATGTTGTAAGGAGAAATTAGCTGCTGGTCTTTTGCAAACTGAAGGATTGACTTTGGTTATTTTTTTAAGGGTGGAGTGCGTTGTTTGCAGTTTGACGACGAAAAAATAATCAGCGGCTCCTGGGATATGACTGTCATGGTTTGTATCGTTTAGATTTTATATTTGCTAAAACCTACATGTAGTTGATATATGGGAATGGCAGATTTCCTTCCAATAAAAGGACGGGGAAAATTACAAAAAAAATTAACGAAATTATCAGAGTTTATATTTAGTCTTTGTCAACTCTCATATCTTTACTTTCATCGAATTTGAACTTGGTCAAATTGTGATAAAAATCGGCGGACAAGCAGACGATGTCTTGTCTTGCACTCTTGATGGCCGCTATTTTAACAGGAATCTCGTTTTCATTTTAGGTTTGGCATATTGTGAAGTTTCACAGACTTAAAGTGCTTTTTGGTCACAAGGGATGTGTTTCTTGTTTGCAATTCAAAGACGAAATTTTGTAAGTAAAGGTTCTTATGCGTATCTTTGTTAACAGATTTGAATTCTTGTCTTTTGCCAGTTTAAGGTTCTTTTTATAGCCTTTTTAGGTTTTTAGGTTCTTTTAATGCTTTTTTAGTGAGATGAAATACATGTATATTCCAGTTTCATCATGCTGCGAAAATTGGAAATACCTGCTAGCCTAATGAGCTGCTTAGCTGTAACGCAGGCGTTACCTTGTTACTTAACATGCTTATTACTGCACAATAACTTTTTAAAAAACGTGAAAGCTTCAATCAAAGGTGAGTATAGCGTTCTATCACCTAGGAATAAAATTGTGCGCACAGTTCTGCTGTGAAAATTGACCTTGAACATTCCATGTCTTCTGCTTGGTTTTAGAGTCACGGGGTCACATGACCGTACCGTTCGTATCTGGAGTACAGCCACGTGGGAGTGCGAAGGTATTCTTGAAGGCCATGAAGGTGGGTAAATCAAAAAGAATCTAACAAACATGGCGGAAAATGCGGCATTTTGGCAAGTTTCTTTAGTGTTGCGGGGCTTTTGTATCGGTGAAATGCAAACCACTCTTATGCATTTGTGTTCATTGTTTCCTCATTAAAGGAGTTACGTCACGGTTTGCGCATCTTAAAAAGTTTAGCCTGAATGTTTTGTTTGTAATCCGTGTCAATCTTCTCCATCCTTAACCATCCTTGTTCCCTTATGGTTTCCTATTATCTCTTTGGTGTTTTTCTATCCTAGTCAACTATTATTTTCAGGTTTTCTTCAATTTTCAAGGTAATTTTGAACGTGGCCAAAATATCTCAAAATGCCGTGACTGGGCTCCTTTAAAATGACCGCCTTCGATTCCAAGATTGATTAACATTGTATTTGTCATTACGATGTAATATATCCAACACGAGAGACAGTGATTCATCGAGATATCTAAACACCGAGAAGAGAGTTGAAAATACGACACCCAGCGGAGTGTTTTTGACGAAATTCGAGGTGTTTGGATAGCCGCTGAAACACTGTCTTGAGCGTTTGATATTTCTTCTCAATCGAAACAAAAACTAAGGAGTAAACGGAGAAGCAAAATCGTCCAAATCTATGCGAATTAAGACAGGGTATCCAAACCTTCTTCACGGTTGTGATTTTCTTTGTTTTAACTTGATGAATCATTAATGAGTTTGAGAAATCGATATATTATCTACCAGACAATTGATGAGAATCGCGATAATCATCAAGTTAGTGACATTGTCCTGAAGTACCTCAAGTTATTAGAACTGACGTTAAAAGGAGTCAAATGTACACCGGAGAACTTTTTTTGGGGATATGGGTAGGGCTTGATATGTGTGCGCTCTCAAACCAAACCTCTGTCCTATTTTTTCTTTGCGTTGGTTACCATTTTTTTCTCGACCTTTCCAGGTCAGGCAGGTTTCTACAAAGTGTATATCCTAACAATACAGTGACTAGGTCTTGTTGTTTGCTGATATCCAGGTGCGGTCACAAGTCTTCAGTTACAGGGAGAGCATGTTGTTAGCGGTTCTGTTGATAGGTGAGAGGCATTCAATTTTACGGTGGCAAATATACTTGGAGGCCGACTCTATCGTGACTAACTTCTACATTAATGCCTCGACTTCAATTTTAGGTAATAGTTACAGACTTCACTACGAGAAAGGCTTAAGTTGTCGTATGCAAACCCCATCAACAAAGCAATGAGATTTTTAGTCGAGGCCAGAACATTTAACCGGTTTGAAGCGCGGTAAAACGTTTAAGTGGAGACAAGCGCGGAAAACGTGCATTTAACGGGTGGCAAGCGCGGGGAATCACGTAACGAACGGGTGCAAAGCGCGGGAAGAAATGTAAGCGCGAGTTTCAATCGTTTTGCTTGTCGTCATCTTGCAGAACTTTAAAATTATGGGATCTAAAGACAAGAAAGTGTCTTCAGACATTTGTTGGACATTCGGATGCTGTACTCGCCTTAACGGTAAGATCATTAAATGAACGCAATATATCTTTTATCGGGGAAGTTTTAACGTCACAGAACTGACGGATCAAGGTTTGACTGGTGTTTTCTCAGGTTTTTCTTTAGGTCTAGAGGAGAATACCACTCGTCAGGGAATGCGAAGTTGTGTTTCCAGTCAGTAAATAGGAAAAACTACAACGTGAAACTTAATCAGTGTATGGACACTGCCTGAGTGAAAACCTGATTCATTCCCTAAGGTGTTCTGTTATGGCTGACTCAGGGGTGGATCTACTAAGAGGGCGCACCCCCCCCCCCCCACCCCGAGATGAAGCCTTCTTCTTCATATTCGCTTTTAATATTTGTTTACCTCACTAGTCAGTTACGCCATTTCCCAGTGGTGCACCCCCTCCTAAGAGAAATCCTGGATCTGCCCTTGTGACTGGGGTTCTATAGGAAAAGAAAGGGGCTAATGACGCAAGTGGGGTTGTACTTAGTGCGGTAAGACACACACTCTCTCTTTTTCCCGCAGGTGCTTGGCAACCTGGTCTTAAGTGGATCCGCGGACGGTATGATTTTGTTCTGGAACCTGGAAACTGGAGAATGCGAGGTTGCTATTCAGGGTCACGAGGGCCCAGTCCACTCTCTTGATTACAACGATCATCAGCATTTCTTCTCGTCCGGAGGGTGAGAAAAAGTTTTAATCAGGGCACGAAGAAAAAATTTGAAATCCAGGTGCCCAGTTGGCCAGTACATCTCAGTTTTCAGTTGCCACACTAAAATACTACTTGTCCAATAGGCGCGCAATGTTCATGCCTTATCAACTAATTTTCCTGTACGAGGGCCAATGTGGCGATCAGACGGTGAAGTGAGCAAAGTATGCTTGGATTTTAAATTAATCCCTGCTTTCAATTTATTGTTTGCTCACCTTGCAGTCTTAGGTTTTGAAATTATTGTTTTTGATTGGAAATTATCACTGACAAGATTACTGAGGTTAATTTCACTTGCCCATGGGACCAAGAAAATTCCATTCTCACTTGCGCAAGAGCAAAATTTACTTGGCCCGGACAATCGTATCTGGGTTTTTTCCTGCCCTGAATTCAGGCTTATCGAGCGTTGTTCCATTTTTTTTCCAAGGTAACAGTGATGCAGTAGTACTTTAACGTAAATACAGTTTATTTCTTTACATTCCAGGGACCATTTGTTGAAAGAATGGGACATAAGTACGTGCACGTGTCTAAGATCCTTACAGGGACATAGAGGGCCGGTGTTTTGTGTTAAGGTACGGTTATGTTCCTTTCGATCCCGATTACACGCGGCCTTCAGTGGCGGGAAAGTTGCGAGATCTCCTTTCGTGGTCGTAAGCTTGGCAACTAATCCATGATGTACTTTAGCCTCATTCATTGAAAACAAAACTCGCATCTATTTCTCATGCTTTTTGTGTATGGAGTGTAGTTTAAACAGGGAAGAAGTTTCGAGATACATTGTTTACAACCATTCGAAGAAGCATACACACTTTCATTTTCCACCGTTCGTGAAATGTACTCTCCGGACTGATTATAAACAAGTGTTAAAGAAATAGCTGTTTCTTATTATAATTCGAGCTCGTTTGTCTAGGTGAGGGAACTGTTGTTGGTAACAAACTGAGCAGAAGTCATTTTCAGAGTCTAGTGAAAAGTGATTATCAGTGGATATGTTCTGTCGTTTCTTACCCTCTCTTTAGAGTGTCTTTGTTGAATTGCCTTTGTGGTAGTTTTGATACCGCGTGGAAGCTTCATATAAACCTTTGCCGAATTATTGGTCTGTGCGATCAAAGAAAACTTGCACCTTTGAAGAAGCCATGTCACGAAGTTTTAAGTCATTTTGTGTTATTCAAAACACTTTCAATTGACAAAAGCCCTAAAATAGTAGTTCTCGAAGGTGGGAAAACACTAATGTAAACCCATTATGGGATCGTTACCACTGAGGAAGATTAAGGCGGATTATGAAACTTAGAAAAAATTGGCCGACGTTTTCAAGATCCGATGCCCATGATAAAATTAATTTTAATTAGTTTCATGCGTTCTAGACTGGTAATGTGCGCAGAACGCTATGTTCCTGTGCCCTTTTGCACGAATTACGGGCAAATAGTAAAACAAGGGACACGTGGGTTCTACTGAAGATGTGCTCAACTGTGAAGTGTTTTAAATGATCGTGAAAGTTACTTAGTAAATCCCCTGAGATTTCATCGTTGTTGTGTTATTCAGTTAGTAACTTGCTGTCCATGTTTGTTCCCAGGCCGTCCCACACAGGGTCGTGTCCTGCTCTGCCGATGGATTCACGAGGGTCTGGGACCTGGATTTTCCAGATGGAAAGGTTGGTCATGTCACATACCTCGTACATCTTGAACAGTTTTCAGATCTTTCCATCCAGTCGGCTAATGTTGTTTTTCTGCTCTTGCAGTACCAAGGTAAGAATATTGCCGTTCAAGACAACGTCATCACGCCGCACACAATTCAACAGAGTAATCCCAAAAAAGTTATTTGATGGAAGGAGAGAGAGAAAGCAGTTTTGTAGCGCTTCGATTATAGAATAAATAGTTGTTCTGGTTCGCGTTTTTATTTCTTTGCTTTCTTCTTGTGTTTTTCTTCGACGTACAGGTGCGATATAGTAAAAAGCCGCGTGTAAGAACCGACATTTTTTAGTCTGGCAACATAGGTTCTTGTATCTTGGGGTAGTTATTGACAATTTAGGCAAAGCAGGTTGTTAATTAGGTTCTTAATTTCGATGAAGTAGATATGGTTGTTGATTACCAGAAAAATTTTTAAACCTGGGTTTGGTCCTTGAATTTTGTTTCCTAACTGTAATATGTATTTTCTTGTAATGTAGAGTTGTAATCTGAAAGTCACTCCTTGGTTAAAATGTTTATCATAAATTTACTGTAACCCACACATAAGAACCTGCTTGATCTTGCTTGGCTAAACAGGTTCTTATACTTTTGGGTATTAATATGGCAAATTTCTGCCTGCAGGTTCTTAATTAAACCACTAGGTTCTTACATGCGAGTTTTTATTCCATGCTTATCAGTTTTATGTGGAGGATACCTGGCCTTGGATCAATAATTAAGACTAGAGATGTATTCATCATAAAGTGTTTTTCCTTGGCCTATGTAGACCTCATGTTGAAAAACTCTTTTCATGCATTCTTACGTCATAATTCACTCGTTAGCTTTCAAGAAGACGATCGAAGCGTGGGCTTTGTTTTTGAGTTGCTATGCAACCAGACAGCAAACAGTAAACAAACAAACAAATAAAGATACGTCACCCCTTATTTCTGTCATCCACGCTTTTGTTTTGTTCATGAAAGGAGTAGTGATGTATGAAGGATATTGTAAACTTCTCTTTACGGAAAAAACAACTTGGATAGAAACCAATGTCGCGTGAACTGTTTTTAGGTCATTGAAGATCAGATCTCGCGATAAACACATGCTGAAATAAAAACATTGTTATTAATTACGGGAAATACAAGCCGTCTAGATCTTGCAACTTGATTGCTTCAAGACCTGCCAGCGTCTCAAACATGTGTTAAAAGTGGTTGGACTAAAAATGCAACCAGGAGATAAAGAAAATACCTCGTAGGGAAGCCTACAGGAATCCTCGCTTTGTTTTTCTTAAGAGCAGACGAAAGAATCATCAAAATTCTAAAGATTTTATAACTTGAAAGTACGTCATCCTGTGAACGAGTCACAGTTATTGTTACTTTCAGAGAAAAAAATATTGTTTTAATGTATGAAAAACATATGCAAGTTATGAATAAGGTATTGGTATATTGGGCACTTGGAGTATTCGATTGAATAAAAAAAACAAAAGAAACATATTTATAGTAACATTGCTTCATGTATTTTCCAGAGTTTAAAAACTTTAATAAAAACGACGTTTAATCTACTTTGAATCGTGGATGTGATCTTTATGTATTATTGTTATTTGACTTTGTAATTTCTTCAGTCGAGAAAGAAAATATCGCGTGTATACCCTGTTACCGTGATTGATATTTTCTTATCTCTAATTATCACCCTCACCCGCCTTCAGGCAGGCAGGTAAATTGAGTGACTCAGATAACGTGATGTGATCTATTTTTGCCATGGCTTCTGGAAAATTTACGCCCGCGGCGATGTCACCCTTCGTGTGAATTAAGACTGTGTGTTTGATATTAGTGTAGTACGAGACGATAAGGAAGATCATGTATTGCTTACGAGATGTAATGCTGCCTCTTTTTCGGACGAAGCTGAAATACAACGTTCTTTATTCAACCCTGACGATCTCTTAAGCTCCTTCCTTCTCCGCTCGCCACTGGATCTCTTTCTTTTTCTCTGGAACCTAGCTATTAGAAGCCTCCCGGGCTTTGGTTGTTTGCTACGCAACGAAAAAGAAATCTTTCTCTATAAGCCCCATCCACCCATTGAAGGTCACTGTGTTGAAATAGAAACCAAACAATAACAATTGTTTTGGATTTGTTGATTTTTCGATTCAAGCCACCCCTATTAAAATACCCAGCCGCAGGGGATCATGGGTGGCTGAAATTCTAGACCCAGCAAGACTTA